TATTAGCCAAGGTAGCGGTGCAAACTCCGCACAAATTGTTCAGATAGGACCACTATAGCATATAGCTGTCATACAAGCTAAGTAATCAAAATCACGTTCTTTTATGGAAACTTTTTTTATTTGTAAGGGTGTGATAGCTTAAGTGCGGCCGAAGTTAACATTTTTTCTGCTTTTATTTATTTTTTGTTTATTCTCCGTTTCCCAGATTTTATTAAATATTTTTCTAATATTTTAATTCTCCATGTCTAAATTTTAATTGTTTTTTATTATAATATATATAATATTTATAATATATCTAGTGCTTATTAATTATTTGCTACAAACTTGCTTGTTTTTATATACAATGCAATTTGTTAACTTTTCTAATTTTATTAACTTTTGTGTTTCAATAACAATATTGTTTCGCTTCCTAAAATCTTCTCAGTGCGCCGTCAAATTGCGGCATTGCAATTTCTATGAAAGAGTTGAAACGGAAAATGCAATAAATACGAAATTCATTTGTCCGCCGGCTGCTTCCGCACCAATACCAACGCATACGACTGCAAAGAAACTTTCAGATTTTCCGCAGCAACAGATTTTCCATGGCTAGTCACTTGAACTTTTTCCATTTTCCAATTTCAGCAAATATCTTTGTACAATATTTACCCAACACACGCACACGCATACAACTGCAAATACAATACATGTGTATGCATTCGTGGCAGACAGAAAATAGTAAATAGTAGTTTTTGCTGCCGACAGAGTTCCATGACCTGCACCAACAAAGAATTGCATTACTGCCCTGCTACAGAAGCTTTTGTACAAATAAGTATATATATATAGGTATATATATACATATATTTATATATGCTTGTGTAAATAGATTTGTGTTTGTATGTGTATGTATCCTGTGTTAAACTATACCGTAATAAATAGTTGCTAGCCAACTCAAGCCAACCGAAAGTATACTACGGAGTGAAATTATATGTGCCTGCATGCATATATGTACATATTTACCGTTATACATACTCCAGCATTACCACTTACCCTAGAAGCGCCCAAATGTGTATATGCCTATTTACTGTAAACGCCGCACAAGCGCAAATAAGTATACATACATATGTATGTCTGTAGGTGCCACCCGCCCGTAGACGGCTCCACTATCCATTCAGGACACCTACCAGTCGTTCTTCACCCATATTTAAACACCCACAAATGCTCAATTGCAACACCGAATCGTTTTACTTTCGTAGCCACCCGCAAAACCACTCATAAGTGTTTACATAGTTCTATGTGTGTGTGGGTTTATGTAAAAAGCAACCCTGTAGGAAGTTTTATTTCGAACGAAATGTTTTCATTGACATTTGTGCACTCACTATTTCAGGGGTAATTTTTTAAGGGGTCAGTAGGGTAATCTTTTTTCAAATTTTTATTTTTTCTGTTTCCGTATACCCTTATATTTAATGCATTAACCCATTTTACCATTGGAAGGTTTCGAAAAAAGCCTAAAAATAATAATACCGCTCGACGTTCGGAGCGCTCGAAGTGTACACCCCAAACTTTAAACGAGTTTTTCTAAAAAAAACACTTCTTTAAACTGGCCGACATGATTCCGGTCGAACTACTCAACCGATTTGCTTAATTTTTTTTAAATGTTCACAAAACGCTATCGTCCCTATATTTTTTATAATTGATAATGTTATGATAAAATTTAAACATTGGGAAAAATTAAAGAAACAACGTTAATTACTTTTTTATTTATCAACAATTTTTCATGATTCTAGTAGGGACAATAACCATTCACATACTTTTTAAGAATTGTGTTTCAGTTGATCTAAACATGAGAAATCGTTTCCGCCAGTGAAAAAACGCATCTCTTTCACCCAGCATTTCTCCGACGGATGTCATCAAAAAATTCCGCAAAAAATTGTTTATACGCTCCACGATATACCTCATGATATGTGAAAAAAGTTCTATCGTAGAATAAAAATTTCTATGAAAAAAAATGTCAAAAAGACAGGCCAAATTACCCTATTGACCCCTTAAAGCAAAAAAAGAGCCTTGCAGGAAGCTATTATTCTGAACTAAAACCATTTTGAAGTCGTACGTATTCAACTGTGGATATATGCTCAATATATCTGTAATATGAAGCTTTTTGTAAGCTTTATGATTTGTATGAAGCCTTTTGTCAATTAGGTTTCAATACATGTTGGCAATTTCTGAAGATCTTGCGTAAACAATCCGATGTTTATGCTAACTTTTTGCCTTTAAAGTCTCGAAAGAAGACGACGATTTTGGTTTCAGTCTCTTCGACTGAACAGTTCAATGTTAAAGTTTCTTTAAATGTTTTGGAAAAATCACCGAATGAATGTCTGCTTTACTTTGAACTAAGGAACTTTTTTTATTATAAGTATTTCCAAAACATTTTGTTAGATCCAAAACTTCTCTGTAAAGCTTTGTAGTTTTTTACTTTGTAAACCATGTGAGAATTTCAATTATGATATACAGCGAGAGCGAAATAACGGAGTATTTTCCAATTTGTTTATGGTTGGATGTGTGTATGATTTCATTTTAAGTTTCGAAATGCCTAGTTTACAAACATATTATATATCAGCACAAGAGCTTCATTTACAGACCATGACGTGACTAGAATTTGAGTAATTAAGTCATTTCTAATACTTCTTTCGAATTGTTTGAAAGCTTAAAGAAAAATTAGTATTAATGTACAAGATTTGGCAAGCTTCCAGGTATTCTCTGTTTTCCGAATCCTCTTTGAAAGTCTGATACTTGTGGCAAACTTTTTTTTCAAAGCGGTTTTTGTACTTCTGCTTTTCAACACACATAGAAGGCTGAATACCCCACAAGTATGGAATTGTAGAGCTTATAGTTTATTTTTATTTAAATTCCTTTCTCAACTTTTGATCCACTAGGTATACTCAAGGTCCTGGTTCTAGATGACACTTAAAATTTATTTCGTCGAAATTCCAACAAAAACCCTGAGCTGATATTATACGAGATAAGCTCTATATCTTGGCGATAGGTTGGACGTGAAATCACTTGGTCATAATTCCAATAAAAAAAACGAGCTAGTTGACTTTAAGCTGACGTTGGCCGGCACCAAAAGCTCCGTCAGAATCGGGAAAGATCTCTCCGAGCCGTTCGATACCAAATGAGGTTTCAGACAAGGCGATTCCTAACTAAATAG